ACGGAGCAAGCCAGCATCATACACGCATACAAGCAGCACAGAAAGCCGGACCGTAAGGATGGCAGAGAGAAAGAGGACCACCGTGTGGCCTCATTTTCAGGCTGAAAACACCATTCATTCATTAATTCATTCATTCATTTTCCGATCCGCTCATCCTCACAAGGGTCGCGGGGGGTGCCGGAGCCCATCCCAGCTGTCTTCGGGCAGGAGGCGGGGTAAACCCTGAACTGGTTGCCAGCTAATCGCAGAAAATGACACACCAAAAACGATCAATTGATTGAAATGTTTCAGAACCCTCTCCCCACCGCCAGGACTAAACAGACCCAGACCCCCAACACAGAGGCAGAGTTTAGTGGGAGAGGCCTTTCTGCCTGTCTGGCAGACAACATCCAGGCTACTGATAGCGAGGAAAGTCATATTTAACGCATACAAGCAGCACAGAAAGCCGGACCGAAAGGATGGCAGAGAGAAAGAGGACCACCGTGTGGCCTTATTTTCAGGCTGAAAATACACCATTCATTCATTCATTCATTCATTTTGAAATGTGTTATTGACGACATTGAGTGAAATTTTAACTCATGTACTAATGCCACACAGGCAGCTCAGATTTTCTTAAACATAAATACATTTGAGTGTTTTCTGGGAAAAGGGATTCTGTATACTTGCTAATGTTGGAACACCCTGAACTGGTTGCCAGCCAATCGCAGAAAATCATACACCAAAACAGCAAAAACGATCAATTTATTGAAATGTTTCAGAACTCTCTCCCCCCCCGCCAGGACGAAACAGACCCAGACCCCCGACACAGAGGCAGAGTTTAGTGGTAGAGGCCTTTCTGCCTGTCTGGCAGACAACATCCAACTGCCCAGATATTTACTTGGTCTCGGATCAATGGCAAATCTTCCATTGTCACGCACCACCATTTTCCATAGACTACTTCGCTTTTTTTTTTTTTCTCAACATAATTTATACTTCTAGAGGCCATATGAATTTATGAACATTCCAGAAATTAACTGACAAATGAAATGTGGATACTTTCAATTGCCCCTTTTTTTCCATCTGTATCCTGTATTGATTTAACATCTCAAATAAACAGTCACCACCTCCTTTTAAAACCAGTTTGAAGCTTATCCTCACTAAAGGTGCCTTCCAACATTCAAGCTTGAACATATGGATTTATTCGCCCTTATTCAAGTGATATCATAACTTTCGTTTCTCCTAAACCGATTCGCAGCTTGGCGCATTCCAATGTTTGTGCGTCTCCCGCAGGGAGTATTTTAATTTTAAGTGATGATTGAGGAGAAATGTGTTATTGACGACATTGAGTGAAATTTTAAAATGTGAACTGCCACACAGGCAGCTCACATTTTATTATTATTATTAAACATACAGTAAATACATTTGAGTGTTTTCTGTGAAAGGGATTCTGTATACGTGACCGATTCGCAGCTTGGCGCATTCCAATGTTTGTGCGTCTCCCGCAGGGAGTATTTTAATTTTAAGTGATGATTGAGGAACGCCAAGCTACACTGCAAGCATGGGAAAGTTATACAGCATGACTAAATATGAGCAGAGCACAGACTTCACTATATTTACACGATAGCGTACAAGCAAACAAAAGCTTTCATGTCAAATACAGAAAGGAAAGAAAAGGCACAAAAACACAAAGGTCATGAAAATTTATTTGACCTTAATTGTTAAAAAGTAAGCGGTATTGATATTGACATTACTGGCCAGATATTTACTTGGTGTTGGATCAATGGCAAATCTTCCGATGTCATGCACCACCATTTTCCATAGACTACTTAGCTCTTTTTTATAGCGTACAAGCAAACAAAAGCTTTCATGTCAAATCCAGAAAGGAAAGAAAAGGCACAAAAACACAAAGCTCATGAAAATTTACTTGACCTTAATTGTTAAAAAGTAAGCGGTATTAATCTTGTCATTACTGGCCAGATATTTACTTGGTCTCGGATCAATGGCAAATCTTCCATTGTCACGCACCACCATTTTCCATAGACTACTTCGCTTTTTTTTTTTTTCTCAACATAATTTATACTTCTAGAGGCCATATGAATTTATGAACATTCCAGAAATTAACTGACAAATGAAATGTGGATACTTTCAATCGCCCCTTTTTCCCCATCTGTATCCTGCATTGATTTAACATTGCAAATAAACAGTCGCCACCTCCTTTTAAAACCAGTTTGAAGCTTATCCTCACCAAAGGTGCCTTATAACATTCAAGCTTGAACATATGGATTTATTTGCCCTTATTCAGTTTTTTGGCAGATGAATGAGAAGGACGAGCTGTCACTCGCAATAAAAGTTTCTGTATTATTGGAGTTTCATGTGACATCATCCTAAATGTGTGTTGCCTGGCACCTCCTTGCATAGCAGAGGTCTTCCAAAACGTCTCCTTGCCAGGGATGGGGCTCTCGTGCAATCAACTGAGCCAATGGCTTTGGGGCCCTAACCTAATATAGGGCAGCCGTTTTTATTGAGGAGGGATGCTACCTAAGTCTCGGCCACCTCGAAGCCTCCGTGTCGGTTGTTTTATATTCGCGGGCCGGGTTATTTATTTGGAACAATTTCCTCTCTATCACATGACGCGGCTAATGCCCAGTTTTAATACCTTATTTACACATGGAAACGTGTGCAGAGGGGAGGAAAATGAATGGACCCCCGCTTGCCGCTCCGATCTGTTATATCACAGTTTAACAATCTGGATTGCTAATAGAACCATTTATCATGGAGCACTCATTTATTTCACAGGAGCGGCCCAGGTCTCGGTCCCATAGGCCTATGGAAATGGGGTGCATGTAATGAAGCTCAAGCGAGAGTCACTTGGTTTAAAAAAAGTGGAGATGCGGCGCTCGGGAGACAATTAGAATGGAGCCGGGCGCTCCTGTCTGCCTCCCCAACACGGGCCGCATCGCGACCCTCCTAATTCAATTGGATTATCACCACGCAGGAAAGCTGAAGTGACGGGAAATAAAAGTGGCTCAGTGACCCCAGTTCGCTGTTGTTTACCCACAGTCCCCAGTGTTCGGGCCAGCCCAGCTCGCTGAAGTGAATACAGTAGAAAGGAAGAGGAGTGGCCCGCTAATAGCAAATATCTGAAAAATTAGAACTGCACTGGAAAAAAAGAAGTGATTTTACATTTACATGAAAACAAAAAAAAGCTGATTTTTTTTTACATTTAAAAAAATGATTTTTCGGAATTGATTTGTGGCTGTCTCGCATCAGCTTGCTACATTAAGAGAGCCGTGTTGGCGATAAGGACGATAAGATTTGGTGAGTTATTGATGACCGTAAGCAGCAACTGGAGGCTGGTGCTACCGGAAGCGGTCGAGGTGAGGGAGGGGTGATCGGGCCTCTGGCATAGAAAAATGTGCATGGTCAAAAGAGAGGACCACTTATCTTCCGTCGGCAACGGCTTAAGACGGAGAATAATAGCCCCCCTGTCCAGGGGTCACCGGGATGTCTCGCTCCGACTCATTCGCAAACGCAGACTCAAAAAGCAGCAAACGTTAATGACCAGCTGCAGCCCAAACCATCCCAAACACAATATACACAATGTGATATCCAGTACAGTATTCCCACACTGTAGCACCGATTTTTCTGTAAAATGATTTTTCCGCTTTGTGCGTCACAATTCAGGCCTTACGTCAACAAATTATTTCTTAACATGTTCTTTGTTAGTGAAGTGTAACAAAAATGGTTAGGAGTGCAAGTATGCACTTTATTTAGGAAATGTCACGGAGAAAAGTTGACAGAAATATAACGCAGTGCACATATGTTGATTTGTGCAGGCTTTGGTGATTTTGATTGACAGAACCAAGCACAATATTGATTAAAATTTCCTGAGTGTGGTTTGCTCTTCCAAGGCAACACACACACGCTGGCACACACTGGAAGGTTTCCACAGCTCAGCCGGGACCGATATAAACGGCATAGAAGAAAGGGATGACGTTGACGTCAATAATTTTACAAACAGCGGCCAATTGTAAAAGTTGGCGCGTGTGGTTGCACCTGCACAGGAAGCCATTCGTGCCTACAGACTAATTGTTGTGCTGATGTGCTCTGTCTTGTGGCTGTTGGTGGTGTTAGCTGGAGCTAATTAGCCATCAAACCAGGCCAAGCGTGGAGCGAAATAAATCAGGTTGTTTTAGTGATGCTTTCATTTCCGTCACAAGTCCAATCATGATGTTTTTAGCAGCTCTGTGCAAGTCATTGTGGGTATCAGTGTTGTGTCTTTCTCTGACCAAGAATGTCAAAACAAAATAAGTCCAGTCCCTGAAATGTAATTAAGAAAAAAACAAAACTAAAGAACTTAGACACGTTGGGTGGTCAGTCCGATTTACAGGGAAGAAGTAAATGATTATTTATCGTTGCAGGTCAAAGGTAATCTGTCAACATGTTCGTTGTCATCATTATCATCAGTGATTCAGTGTTGTGTCTTTCTCTGACCAAGAATGTCAAAACAAAATAAGTCCAGTCCCTGAAATGTAATTAAGAAAAAAACAAAACTAAAGAACTTAGACACGTTGGGTGGTCAGTCCGATTTACAGGGAAGAAGTAAATGATTATTTATCGTTGCAGGTCAAAGGTAATCTGTCAACATGTTCGTTGTCATCATTATCATCAGTGATGAGCGCCCCATTTCGTTTGGAATTTTGCGGAAGACACTCACAACCTTCAGGTTTTATTCTTAGCTCTGCGCGCCTCCCCGAGCATGAGAAAAACTGGGTCTTTGTTTAATTTAAAGATGGCACATTGGAGTCATTTTCTATAATCCCAGGCGCCCCCTGGTGAGGGTGCCAGTGGGCTAATATGGATGTTACCTGGGGAGCACCGTGACAGGCCCACAAGCGCCATTTAATTGATGCTATTTTAATTATCGGTCTCGTTCCCCAGCACGCAGGCGTCTCTTTATCACTGCGCGTATGGGATGATGAGGTAATTACTTAATCTAGACAAACCTGTGTGTTAAGCAGCGCTATTAAGCCCGCCGGTCATCAATCAGCCACGCTGGCGGTGATTACGCGACGCCGCAATCACTCTTTCAACATATGCACTCTTCTAAGTCGCTAAATTACACAAACAACACACACACACCGGCAGAGAAAGCCCATCAGCCATGCGGCCTTGCTACCTCCGCCCAGTCATGTGTCGGGGGGTATCAGTGGTAATGACCTCATACTTACTTTTGTTTTGATTGTACGGCCCATCGGGACTGTTCTGAAAATTTGGAACAGAAGGGGATGTACTTTACTTTTGATACAAAACCGAGAAGTGGAGCTCGAGAGTGAGCGATGAGGGTGAAAACCAAACACTATCAAGTAAAGATTAATAGGTGGATCCTAAGCAGGCCGGGCACCCGGGAGGGGAGGGGGCGGCGCGGGGTTCCAGTGGGGGTGCATCAGGTAAGCCAGGCTCTGCAGCTCTCATGAGGGCTCACATTTTGTCCCTCCTGCGGTGGCACAACAATGGAAATGTCTCCGTGATGGAAGGAGGAGTCTCCGCCGGCTGCGCTGATGCCGCTTGGATGGGTGGTCCTCTGAGGAAAAGCTCAGCTTAGGTCACAAGTGTTTACCACCTTCCAAACAACCTTCAACGACTCGCTCGACAGTTGAGTTCTATTTCACGTTTAAATGCAATGTGTTAGGATTGGGTGGAAAAGGATGGAAAGACCTCATGTTTAGTGACAGTCTGAGATGAACACTTCGCAGGCTGCTCTATGCTACAAAAAGTGAACACAGATGCCTCGTTTTACCATGTTCAGCTGGAGCAAAGAGGCTATTTGTGAGGCCGCTTGGGGAGAGGTCAGTCTGTCAGCTTGTCACTGGCGCAGAGTGAGAGAAATGGACCACAAATGCTGACTTACGTAGATGTGGTGGCCATTGCGAGGCCTATAACCCCCTCGTTGCTTCGTCGAGAGCAGATAATGATCCATGACCATGACCTCCATGCGGCAAAGTGTGTGTATACACATTAGTGTATGTATATGTGTGTGATGTAATGTAATGTTATATATATATATATATATATATATATATATATATACCTGCTGTACTGCCCCTCCTCACCCTTCGTCCTGATGTTATTTCCTGCTGCGACCAATCGC